TGTTTCACCCGCAGTGGTCCGCAGCTCTGGCTGACATTCAAGTCATCCCAGGAGATTTAAAAAATTATCCAGGCCCAATCCCGGGTCCATTGCATCAGAATCACTAAGGATGGACCACAGCATCTTTTGTCTTTATTTTTTTAAAGATTTGATTTATTTATTTTTAGAGAAAGGAGAAGGAAGGGAGAGAGAGAGAGAAAGAGAAACATCAATGTGCCTCCCATACATGCCCCGATTGGGGACTGAACCCGTAACTCAGTCATCTGCCCTGACCAGGAATCGAACCGGCGACCTTTTCCTTTTTAGGATGACACCCAGCCAATGGAGCCACACCAGTCAGGGCATCATCTTTCATTTTTACAACTGTCCCATGATTCTGATGTGCAGCCTGGTTGTGAGCCCTGAGCCTAGTGCTCTCAGAGGCCCACTGAGCTTCTGTGCATCTGTGAACCCAATGCCAAAGGCAGGTCCCCTTTTGCAGATAGAAGCTTGGCCAGGAGCAGGCTAATCAGGAGAGCCGGCATTGGTGGGACTGGGAAGGGGGCGGGGGCAGGTGACACAGCAGGAGAGCGCCAGACACTGGGTACCTGGCTCAGTCTGATCTCATCAGCAGACACCCTGAGGGATAAACTGAAAAGAAAAGAGCAAGCAAAAACAGCTTTAAAACAATTAAGGCTTTTCATCAAGAAGAGTTTAAGATGAACAGGTTTCTTCACTGCAAGAGTTCTTAAAATAACAATATTAGTAATAATAATGGCATGTACCTCAGAGGCAGAGAGGATTAAATGAGGTAAGGGACGTTTGAAACAATCAGCTCCCCCGCGTACATAACGGATACTTACTAAATGCTCCCTGTGTGAGTGTTACTAATGAGGCTGGTGGCTCCACAAGGGAAGGCAAGGGTGTGCAGCGTCTCCCAGACTTCTGGTGCCCTTTTTCTACAGCGCCTCTTGTAGAGCCAATGCTCTAGGAAGCACAGCCTGGAAAAAAATCGCAGAGGGGCCTGCAGTGTGTTTTCTGACTCCCTTGTCAAGGGACTGATGAAGGACTTAGGCCAGGATGAAAGCCACAGCCATTGGTCACCACAGGGGTGGTGTCCCTGTGGAAGGGCCCTGTGCCTGCAATCCAGAAGAGCTGATTCAACTTCTGGACTTTCCTTCTCTTTAGCTGGGCGACCTTTGGTAAGTGAGCAGGCCTCTCTGAGTCCGGTGTCTTTTCCAGTGTGATGATGGGCTGCAGGCCACAAACCTGAGAATTTCGAAGGTCCCTCTGACTCCCAGATTCTATGCTTACGTGCATTTCTGCCAAAGTGGGGAAGGGAAGGGAACAAAGGAATCATACATAAGCCATGGTGTCTTCTAACCATGATCCTAATTCTACACTTGTTTGAGACGGTTCCAGAGAGATGCTAACACCCGCTCACTCTCTTGGCCAATGTGTTCCCTGGGGACGCTGCTGGAGAAAAGTGGTGAAGTGGCCAGCCAAACTCCTACTTGTCAAGGGGTGGAGAAAAGAGGAGCGAAGAAAGGTCCTCACATTGACCCCTCTGTATGTAGAGGCCATCAAATCTACTGTGCCTAACGGCCAATTTTTTTTAATGTCTAATGACCATATTCCACATTTTCCAAACTAAACATCAGGACCCATGATGTCAGAAAGGATTTTTCAGGCCACCAGTACAAGGTGTAGTCTCAGAGATAGGATGTGCAAGCTTACATCTCAATTTCTGGTAAAAAAGCAGATGGTTTGTGGGTGACAAGGGACAGAACAGCTGAAAACAGGAGTGACCCAAGAAGTCCCCGTAATGCGATCGTGACTCTGGGGACCCTCTCTCCCTCTGCACACAGGTGCGCTCTCCACAGCAGGAGCGCTGCTCTCTTCACGGCAATGGAAAAGGAAAACCTCCTCCTTGGCATTCCCACGGGGACAACAAAAACCACACTGGCTGCTTGGATTGGCATTCCCTGTTCCCAGCCAGGTCCAGCCCTCCTGCCTGGCTCTCCTGCCTTCCTCGAGGCCCCATGGTGAGCCTTCCTTCCACTGAACCGATTGCAGGGTAACAATTTCCCCCATCGCACTGATGAAGCCACTAAGAGACACACTGACCTACTTGGGACTGTGTATTTATCTCTGCGCTGCTAGGCTGTGAACTTCTCACCGAGAGAGTGACCCATGAGCAGCATCTCCCCGTGTTCCATGCCGAGCACCAGCCTGGCCCTTTGTCCTGCTCCTGTTCTTAATTTCCTGCTGTCTATTGTCTCTCTGATAACTGCTGGAAGAGGGAAGGGTATTATTTAATTGCTTTAAAGATATCAAACACGCCGGTGCAGAGGTTATCTGCTCCCCAACCCCTCTATTTCTCTGGCTCAAGGTTTGGTTACTTAGTTACTGAGCAAGCTGAAGGCAAGGAGAGGTGGCAGCAGTGTGACCTCGCAGACTTCGTTCAGCAGGTAGAAGGCGAAGCCAAAAGGAGAGCTGTTAGGAGTCAAATAGGGGACCCGAACCTGAGGGTGGCTGCAGAGTGCAGGTGACAAATAACTCTTTTGAGGGCTTTGGGTATATAGGGGGGGCTGGGGCGGGGGGAAGCCTACGTTATCTGGAAAAAATTAGCACATGTTTTAATTACACATTTTCTGCTGTCAACGTCATCATTTTTCAGACCCCATTCATCCAGCTCTGCCACAGAGAGACAGATATGCCTGGGGCGGGGGGGCGGACCTTTTCCCAGGTTGGGCCCACCCACCCTGACTTATGGGGGGAGGGGAAAGGAAGACATCACAAGGGGCTTCAACGGATATTTCACTGTATCTGATAATCCGAGATAAAGAGCCTTGTTGGAGGAGGTCATTGAGAAGACATGACCACCAGGTGACCTGAAAGTTGGACCTCAGCAATCAAAGGCTCCTACCCACCCTTGTCCTTAGAATGTCTGTCCTACCCACTGTTCCCATACTAGAAGCCACTTCAAGGACTCAGGCTTGAGAGAGCAATATATACTGAGGCCACCTGGATGGCACACATAACTGAACCCCATCATGAGTTCTGTATAAACTGACCAGCAGGTATGGAGGAGATCTCAGAATGTGGTCTCCCAAGACAAGCCTCATATGTAGGTCCCCTTGCTTATTAGAACTGCTACCTACCAATCTGGAGTGTTCTGCTCTTTCTTCGGTCTCTCCTTGCCTTTCAAGCATGGTAGGCCAGGGGGAGGGGGAGTTTCAAATTTCACCTAGGGAACTCTCGAGGTTGAAAACCATCAGGCATGCAGAGGTGCCACCTAATTACCCAGGCTGCCTTGAAAGGAGACGGTTTACTCAGCCGATCCTCTGGGAACACACTGTTTTCATGGGTGGCACCCATACTAAAACTAAAATGAAAAGTGGAAAACATGCATTGACCCATCAGGGTCGCCATAGAGGGGAGGGGACCATGGAGAGCCAGTAGTCTGCTTCTCATATAGGTGAGAAAACTACGGTTACTTTTTCAAAGGGATATATGAGTTCAGCATCAGCAGCGGAAGACCTTTGAAAAGATAACATGGTCCCAGGAAAAGGAATTTGAGGGTGGAGTGGGCACTTTCTGGGTCTTCCTTGTCTTCCTTTTCCTCCTCTTCTTCTGGAGACCAATGGCATCATTGGTTTTAAACAAGAGGGGGCAGCAGGTGCGGTTGTCGCAGATGTGTCCTCGGGGCGTGCAGAGTTCTCCTGAGCTCAGGTCCTCTTCATCCTCTCACTTCCAGCCAGTGCTGCGCAGGGCCCCCTCTTCTGGCGAGCTGCCTGCCCCAGCCCCTGCCCCTGCACCTAAAGATCCCCTGCTCCCAGATGGGCTGGGACAGGAGAGGACCACCAGCTCACCTTCCATCTGGCCCAGAGGTCCAGGATGACAAGTTCAACCTGCATTATGACAAACAACTCCAAGACAAAGCCAATGAAAAGCCCTGATTTCCCCCCTCACAGTGGGGACCCCAAGATGCCGTCTGGCCCTACTGACTGCTCCCTTACCTGGTGATTCCCTCCCCGTCACTTGACCATCTCTTTGGCTCACCCTACCTGCTAAACAACCGGGGACTTTAATTTTTCACTGGTGAACTAGAAATTGGATCATAGGATGGGCAAAGGTAGCTCAGCCCACAGAGAAAACTGTAGCTGGCGTTAGCTTTCTGTTTCCCACCCTCTGAGTATCCTCAGCGTGGTGTGCGTGTGTGTGTGTGTGTGTGTGTGTCCTTGGAGGAGGGTAAGAAAGGAGAGGCTGCAGGATTGATTATGACTTATTAAACTATTGGAACAGAGGCTGAATCATCACAGTCAAAAAATAAACAGCTGCAACTTGATTCGACACAACTCCCACTTCTTGCTTGTTCCCCTTTGCTCCCTCGCAGCAGGAAGGGGGAGGTGCTGTGCTTGCAGGGACCAGCGGGTGCCCACTGACCAGTAAAGGAAGGGGCCTGGCTGGGTGGCCACTGTGCCTCCCTGCTGTGGAAAGCTGATACAGTTGGAATGAGTCTGAGCCTCTGCCTGCTCCCTGCACTGAACTTTGGGACCCAAGTGCATCCTCACACACTGCCAAGGAGGGTTGATCACTGCACGGAGAAGGGCTTCCCGTCCAGGTGCATTTTCTCCCTGGCCTTGTGCCCCATGCCCAGTGCCCAAGGATGACCCACAGGAGACGCAGCTCTGCACACTTGTCAGACTGAGATGGCAGAGGTCCTTAAATGACTCTGGGTTACCGGGGCAGCCATGCCAGCTGCCTGGAACATGCTCCATGAAACAGAACGGATTCTGTGAAATCTCAAGGCAAGCAGCGCGTGTCCCTGCCATGAACCTTGGGGAAACAGACTGAAGTTGATTGACCCTTCACACCCCCCGCACGCAGGTCCCCCTGCCCCATTCCTGTGAGCTGTGCCAGCAGCCACAGAAGGATCCTCCACTCGGCTCACCCCTGTCCTCCCACAGGACTTGGCGGGCGGAGCGAAGCTGCAGTGACGTAATGGGGTGGGGGGTGGCATGGGGAAATGTGCCGACGGGCCAGGGCTCCACAGGGTCAGTCCCGGAGACGCAGCCCTCCGCGCCCAGAGCCTCCGTTGGCGGATCGGCGCTCAGGGTGTGTCGGCCCCTGCGAGCTCTCCGAGGCGCAAGGCGAGAGCCAGAGCCCACACAGGTCGGGACGCCCAGCGCAGGGTGCCTACCAAGCTGCTGCGCGCTCGGGCGCTCGGTTGGGCTGTGAACAGCCACTGGGTGCCAGTGAGCTAAGCTAGCAGATTGCGGCAGAAAAGCGAAGGTAAGGTGTGTGAACGCGTGTGTGCAAGAGAGAGAGAGGGAAGGAGGGAGAGAAATGCACTTGGGCACCTGAGTGCACTGCGCTGCACGGTGGTGCGCGCCTCGGTGTGCCAGTGTGTAGGTCCCAATGCGTGGTTCCCTTCCCTCGTGCCATTTAGGGGTGATTTTGGTACGACTGCGAGTGTCCAGGTGTGAGTGGGGGGCTACGGATTGTCAGTACTGAAAACGACGTGTCCGTACGGCCACATGCCAGTGAACGGGACGTGCGCCCTTGTCCAGTCCTCGTCCCCTAGCTGAGTGTGCAGGTGGTAGCTGCGACGGAGACAACTTCTCTCCCAGCCGCCTTTAAACGGGTCCGACGGGAAGAGAGCAAAACGGCGAGGTTGACGCGAGACATTGCTAGGGTTCCTACGGGCGCTCACCCCGAGATCCGAACCTGTGAGGGGCGGGGGGCGGAGCAGAAAAAGAGGGGCTTCTCTCTGTTCCTCCTCGCTCGGCCTCGGCAGACGCATCGCTAATGATCTACAGTCCGGTTCTGTGGCGCGCGCGCGGGGGCGGAGAGGACAGCCTCGACCCCTCTTTGCGGATAGAGACTGGGGATGCTGGCATGGTTATCTTCAGTCTTCCCCTTGTCCTGGAAATGGCCGGGAATCTTTTAGGAAACCTTTGTCTCAGAGGGCCAGCTGATGGGATGACCTGGCGGATGATTTTCTGTGTCAGCGCAGGGAGCCAGCTGGGCGATCCAGAGACTCACCGCCACCCCCTACCCGCGCCCCCGCCGCTCACACCCTTTCGCTAGCTAGCGCCTCCTGGGCTTTCCCTAGGCGCTGTAGCGCCCTGGCGGCACGCACTTGGCTGTAGTCTCTCCCCGCCAGTGAGGCTCATGCTCCCGCCAACCGGAGATTCGCTTGTGTTTAGCAGCCCCCAAAGGAAGTGCGGTGGGGGCTGAATATAGAAAAGACACTGGGGAGAAAGGGAAAACGGAAGCACAGTAGAATTTAGGATCACAGCTCCCTCCACCCCCGTGCCTGGTATCCATCCCATGGTCAGTTCTTAGGCTGGTAACCACAGCCTCTGTGCAAAAAGAGGGAGATGCCTGAGACCATTCTAAACCTCCTCTCTAACAGAGTCCAGATTCTGGGTCTGAGGACACCAACAGCCAGCCATTCCCAGTACCTAACAATTCTGAGGCTGGAAAAATGCAAAAGCACAAAATCAAACTTCCTGTGCATATTTAACCACAATTCGGCAAGTGTTGACTGCCCAGCATTGGACTCTACTTTTATTTTTTATTAAAAATCATATTTATTTATTTTTAGAGAGAGGGAAAGGGAGGGAGAAATGTAGAGAAACACCAACGTGTGGTTGCCTCTTATGCACCCCTAACTGGGGACCTGGCCCAAAACCCAGGCATGTGCCCTGACAGCGAATCAAACCCGTGACTCCCTGGTTTGCAAGCTAGCACTCAATCCACTGAGCCACATCAGCCAGGGCCTGGACTCTACTTTTAATAAAGCAGCAGGTCTCACTTGGAGACCTTAGGTGGCAATTTGATTGTTGATGAAATAAGATTCACTGCAATTTAAGCTCATGTCTTCCTTGGAGGAGCCCTACCACTCCGGACTGACTCCCCGGCTCACTTTCTCTGCCGCCTTCACCATGGTCTGGACCCTGTCCACTGTTCCTCTCTCAAAAGTGGAGAAATGCTACTTCTCAGCCCATTTCATGAAAACATTTACCCCGTAGTGAGTGAGACTCCAGCCACAAAGGCAGAGTTAGGGCTGTAGATCAGCACCCAACACTCACTCACATGTCCACACCATCAGCATCCCAATCCCCAAAAGCACCTGACTGAGTGTCTGCCCCTCAGAACTCTCCAGTCTTACCCAGACCTTGGAGTGTGACCTTGCACATTACACAGATGGGATCCCGGAAACGCTAGTAATTAATTACACTCCAATGCAGGCAGTGTAAATAGGATTCTGGGTCTGTAGAATTAGAGTAACTGACAAGACTGTTGGAAATGACAGTGGAAAAAACCCACATTAATCTAGGGATATAAAAAATGGTTTCTTTACAGCTTCCATTTTTAATCGCTGTCAATTTATGCTTTTTACCCAATGCAGACATTAAATCCCAGGTCCCCCAAAGTACTTTGCGGAAAGGTCAGCCACAAAGCCCAGACCGCACTTTACAGGCAGTGCTGTGGTGAGAAAATTAGCACAGAACAGAGAAGCAACGAGCCTGGAGTGCAAACTGAAGCAGAGGCCAAGGTGGGCAAGATTCCCTAAGTACTGGCTGCTGGCTAAGCAACCTTTAATTCATCAGCCGTCTCTCCAAGCTTCAAGGGGCAATCTTCAGTCTTCACTCAGGCACCAGGCAGAGTGCCCCGCTCAGGGGAAACATGTCCACCAAGTGAGTTATTCCCATGTTGTGCTAAAGGACACCATCCCTTGCCCACCTTCCCTCTTCCTGGAATGACCGCCTTCCCTGCCCTCCTTGCATCATTCTTCCTATACTCAAGGCCCAGCTTCAGCCTCCTTGGAATCCCCCGGGAGAGAAAGGCACTCTTCAGTCCTTTCTTCATATCTCAATGCAGGTCACACCCTAGAAGAGTTGGCTTCCCTGCCTGTGTCCCCTCCTAAAGTATCACCTCCTAGAGGGCATCAGCCGTGTCTTGTTCATCTCCAGTGTCCAGAATAAGGAAGCCCCAGTGATGGTTTTTGAATGCTTGTAGAAAAATCATTCAATTATGTGATGAGCTATTGTTTTATACCTTAGGCCAAGCCAATAGTTACAATAATCTTCTCAGCTTGGAGGTAAGACAGGAATTGGCTGCTTCAAATCAAAGCCCCATTGTCAGCTGCTAGTTTTCCAGTCCACTGAGCAGCAGAGTATCCGGTCCACTGAATATCCTGTGTTCAAATCCCAGCTCCACCAATTATGGGGGCAAGTTAGTTAAATGCTCAGAGCCTCAGGCTCCTCATCTGTAAAGTGGAGACAATTATCCCCACCTCCTGGGGTGGATAGGAAAATCAGGGGCATAAATGAGGCCACATCCGTGTTTGGAACCTTCCTTTCATGACTGTGAGTGAACCTGGCTCCTGTTTTCGTCCTTCATCAGGGGATCACAGGAGAACTCTCTGGGGTGTTGGAAGATAAGCATTCTGGAGTGTTCCACTGAGGGACTTTAGGAAAGAGCTCTCCCAGGTTTAAGGAGCCCAAGCATAGAGTATTGAAGAAACGAAAATAAAACAAAACACATTTTAAAAATGAAAGCCAGATCTTTATTGTTTTAATATTTAAGACTATGAATTGGCTCATTATGTAGGCAGATTTCAATAAATTACAGATAAAGGAGACGGCAGAGGAAAAAATGGGGGAAAGATAACATTTATAACCAGAGCTCTGGTTATGAGCCCAGCACAATGCTGGGTGTTTTCACACGTATTTCATCATTTAACCTTCATGACACCCCCATTTTGACAAATGAGAGTCAGAGAAGTTAAGTGCTGGTCACAAGGGCTCCACAGTGGAACCCTGGTTTATTTTACTTCTCAAGTCCGGGATTTTTCCACTACTGAGTTTTCAGAATGGAAAGCCTCCAAAGAAGTCTACAGGTCGGCGCAGATTTCCTCGTGGGGAAAAGCTGAGAACACCAGTGTCAGTGCCTTCTGAAGTCAGAGACTGGACTGCCCCAACCCTGCCCCTTCACAATTTGGACTAGCCAACTTCTTAGGGATCAAAGTACATTTTTTTTTTGTAGCCATAGTCATGCCCTACATATGCGTCACCCAAGTTGACAAGATAAGCTATAATGGCTTAACCCAAACTCTTCCCCACTATTGGGAAAATCAACTCAACCATTCTGCACACTGGTGAGAATGGGCTAGTTGCTCTATGTGGATGTGGAAAGACAACACATTTTGGGGGGTGAAGAGTGTGTCTGAGAGGGTAAACCAGAAACACGCAAAGCTGATGAGAGCTTAAGTAGCTTCTGACTGATGAGCCAATCTTCCTTTGTTCCCTGCAGATGTTCCATTGGATCCTTTGCCTCCAGGACCCACTAAGGTGAGAATAAGATCTTTGGCTGGTTGGAACTAGCCCAAGACTATAAGGCAGCCATGGATATGGCGTATGACCTACTCAATGGCACCCAATCACTGTTCTCCTCTCTATTTGACTTCAATGGCTCAGTGGCAGCAGCCAACGGCTCAAACCAGACAGAGCCATACTATGATCTGACCAGCAATGCAGTCCTCACGTTCATATATTTTGTGGTCTGCATCATTGGGTTGTGTGGCAACACGCTTGTCATTTATGTCATCCTCCGCTATGCCAAGATGAAGACCATCACCAACATCTACATCCTCAACCTGGCCATTGCAGATGAGCTCTTCATGCTGGGTCTGCCCTTCTTGGCCATGCAGGTGGCTCTGGTCCACTGGCCCTTTGGCAAGGCCATCTGCCGGGTGGTCATGACTGTGGATGGCATCAATCAGTTCACCAGCATTTTCTGCTTGACTGTCATGAGCGTTGACCGATACCTGGCTGTGGTCCACCCCATCAAGTCGGCCAAGTGGAGGAGACCCCGGACAGCCAAGATGATCAACGTGGCTGTGTGGGGAGTCTCTCTGCTGGTCATCTTGCCTATCATGATATATGCGGGGCTCCGGAGCAACCAGTGGGGGAGAAGCAGCTGCACCATCAACTGGCCAGGTGAATCCGGGGCATGGTACACAGGGTTCATTATCTACGCCTTCATCTTGGGGTTCCTGGTGCCCCTCACCATCATTTGTCTTTGCTACCTGTTCATTATCATCAAGGTGAAGTCCTCTGGAATCCGAGTGGGTTCCTCCAAGAGGAAAAAGTCTGAGAAGAAGGTCACCCGGATGGTGTCCATAGTGGTGGCTGTCTTCATTTTCTGCTGGCTCCCTTTCTACATATTCAATGTCTCCTCTGTCTCTGTGGCCATCAGTCCCACTCCAGCCCTTAAAGGCATGTTTGACTTTGTTGTGGTCCTCACCTATGCTAACAGCTGTGCCAACCCCATCCTGTATGCCTTCCTGTCTGATAACTTCAAGAAGAGCTTCCAGAACGTCCTCTGCTTGGTCAAGGTGAGCGGCACTGATGACGGGGAGCGGAGTGACAGTAAGCAGGACAAATCCCGACTGAATGAGACCACAGAGACACAGAGAACCCTCCTCAATGGAGACCTCCAGACCAGTATCTGAACTGCCTAAAAAATAAATATAACACCAAGTTCTGCCAACTGGCAACATGCTCCCTACCCCCACCCACTCCCTTCCTCCCGCCCATCATACCTGGCTTCTAGAATAGGGAATTGCTCAGCATGAGTCCAATTCAGGGAAGAGTGTTTGAAGTCGGCTTGCCTGAGTGAATGATTTGTATTAAATTGAAAAACTCCCCCTGAAAGTGAACATTTAAATGCAGGCAGACAATTCAAAGTCTGGAAAAGAGGCAATCCTGCCTCTGAAGTGTCGGAACTCAACAAAGATAGAAAACTGTACCTGAGTTCGTGTGTTTAAAACCCAGTATGTAATCTTGTGTTCTTATATTTATACTTGTATATTCCCACCTAGTCCCTGTGCAGTCATGATCTACATTTCCTGTGTTCAAAAACACAAGTAGCAAATTCAACTGTGTATCGTGCAGGTGGACATTTGTTACAATATGGTACCCGCAGAAATGGACTGTCATGAAGCCAATAAAGTTTAAGCTTCAGGGATCTCACTTGCTTGGGCAGTATGTTTACATGGCCATATGTCTTTATAAGAAATTATAAAAGGAAGGTATTTTCATATTCTTCTTCTTAAAGAGGGCTTCTTAAATTGTATAACCTTCCAGTCTCACCAACCCTGCCTCTGCCCCTGGGCATTTGCTTCATTCATTTCAGATGGGCTACATCCAGGTAAGAAGGGGAAGAGAGAAGGTATTTCAGGACCCAGAACATTGTCAAGTTGCTTTAATTTTTCTTAGGGAGCCACGGAAAAGAGAGGTGGGGCGGGGATCATTAACATGAAAGGCAAGAGACAGACTATATTCTTATGGGAAAACAATTTTGTCTACCATGAAAATAGATGAGTAAGAATGAAGCAAAATTACATCTTTTTAAGAAACCATGAAATTGTGGAGTTTTTTATACCAGACATGGCTTCCTAATAAAAGAAAATGGAAATGCAATTCAACGGCTCCTCATAGGAGTTTGTTTTAAGGACTTGATACAAAGCCAGCCGCTAAGAAAATCACAGTGCCTCCTAAGGACCCAGGGATGTTGTTTCCAGCTGGTTGCTGTGCAGCCTTAGAGGGTAAGTGGGTGCGAGGGCTGGAGGCAGCTCCATGCTCACAGGGACGGCCACATCACCTTCCTCACGCATCGAGTACATCGAGCATCTGACCATCGATGACCATCTGACTGTGGACTCAGCCATTCTCAAGCACTGGCACAGACAGGCACGTCGCACAATCAGTGGCTTTTTGTTGTTGTTGTTGTTGTTGTTGTTGTTGTTCCCTGAAACTGTAGATGGGCTTGTGTGCAATTGATAAGAAATGGAGCGATCACCATTTCCAGGGCATGAAGAAATATACACTCAGGTGTTTGTCAGGACACCACCAGCCCTGGGTTTGTAGGAAAACCTCCCTCTTAGTGTCTCACATAGAGATTGTACCCTATTTAAAGATTTTACTTAATTATTTTTAGAGAGAGAAGAAGGGAGGGAGAAAGAGAGGGAGAGAAATATCGATCGTTTGCCTCTTGTACACACTCCAACCAGGGACCAAACCCACAACCCAGTTGTGCCCTGACCGGGAATTGAACCAGTGACCTTTCACTTTCGGGGATGATTCCTCACCAACTGAGCCACGCCAGTCAGGGTGATTGTACCCTATTTAAAAATGAGCTTTCCTCTTCTATGCAAGGGCTGTTAGATGGTGAGGATGACAAAGAACTGCACCTGTGGCTCATCGTTAATGTGCTGCCTTTATTCCAGCTGCCTGTATTATTCATGCCACCTTCCTCCCAAAAGCACTGGCTGTGGCCTAGAAAAATATGCTCAGTAAGGCTTATGATAGATCAATCCGTGTGAAAATAAAAAGAGGCACAGCCATAAGATGAGACTATCAGGAAAGTTGTTACACAAAAATCTACTTGGTAAAATCCCATGCTGTTACTCAAGATAGGCCAGCTTCCAGTTCAGCTCAGCCACGGCGGAGGGACAGTGACTCTGACTCCTCCTCATTTTTCTTTCTCCTTATAAAAAAAAGCAACGAAAGGAAATACAGTGTTCTTTCATCCACCCGTGTCCCTTTCTTGGTGTCTTCTTAGATTGTCCTAAGCTATGGCATGAACCCCGCCCAAGTTTCAACTGCATGTCCAGTGTTGACGAACTTCCTGTGTCACAGAAACACAAGCCAACACCACTTAACACAGCCCACAGCATTGTATTACTTCTCCCATCCCTGTCTCCCTCCACCCACTTAGGTTTCATCAGCTCTTAACCACCCGTGCTAATGGAAGGTAAGGACTGGCTTGCACAAGCGATCGGGCATCCGAAAACCAATGTGTGCACGACCTTTTATTCTCTCCCAGCGCCCAGCACAGCTATCTTCACAATTAAATGTGGACTGGAGGAAGAAGCTACAATTAAATGTTGGGATTAAAATTGTGTTAACATTTCATTTAAAATATTTAATCCAGCTTTTGGTTCAAAGAAAACAACCCGAGAGCAAGTCACCCTTGAAAGAGAAATCTCAGAAAGTGGAGAATACCTCTTTATATAGCAGAAACCTGATGGGTGGAATTATAGCCTCAGTCTTAAAGGCTCCACCTTTTGGCCTTAGAAATTGTCCAGGCGATGAGTCCTCACCATATGCTCGCTGCGTATGCAGCTCGCTTGGGAACTTTGGCTGGCTGCCTTGGATCCTGACTTCCTTGGAGGCAGTTTCTCTGATCACAGGGCTGTGAGTGTTACAGAATTAATCTATCTGCCTTGAAATTCTTTCTACCCATTATTCTGGGTCCCTTGGAATCCCATCCCTAAGTAAAAATCAGCATTCATTCAAAGACCCTGGAATACCTCCTATTATAATAATGGTCAAATTGGATGTAAAGCATTTCCTTTGAAATCTTTGTTTTTATGAAGGAGGAGGAGGAGCATGGGTAGGAGGAGGTGAAAGGGTGTGTGTGTGTGTGTGTGTGTGTGTGTGTTGTGTAGCCATTTCTACAGTATCACCTTGTCATTGCACTTCTCTTCATCCTGGCATGGATTTATGTGTGTATCATGAGTGGTCTGCAGAGAAGAAAAGGTGGACTGCTGGACGGCACCTCCGGAGCTGGCAGTGACTGAACACAAGTGCCGATTGCTGACGCCCCCAGCCCCAGCTGCCCCGGACAGGAGCAGTGTGCTAGAGGAGCGTCCGGTCTGGTGCCTGAGAGACAGGAAGTAAACGGCTGTTGAGATGCATGCTCCTAGTCAGCCCCAAATGTGGGTGTTCAGTCACGGCAGTCAGGTCACAATGGAGGGCAGGAATGAACCTTGGCCTTGTGACAAAAGATGGCAAGAGAAGCGTCAAAGTTTCCTGTATGACTGGAAAGGTTCGATCGGGGATTCTGAAATGTGTATCATCATAAGAATCACAATAGCTGGCAAGCCAAGCATTTGAGCTTATCAGTAATGACTTGCCATCGGTCACTTGTCTAATCCACATTTTTGCCAGATTCAAAACCACCGAATTTCCTATCAAATGCTCCATCAGAGAAAACCTTTCCCTAAGTGGTTGTTTGGCGTCTAATAAGTAAATTTCTGGAAACATTCCCACAGGCCAAGTCTCGGTGTTTCTCCCAGCAGCTGATCTGGAAAGCAGGTGTGAGGGACTGCATTCTACGCACAGCTGAAAGCTTTTGGAGCCCTGTTACCTGAGTTGGCAGACCACTGGGGTTGAGAGTAACAGCTCAAAGACAAGCTTTCACACCCCCACCCACTGCCCCTTTCCAGGGCTGCCCACCCCTTCCTTTAACTCAGCAGTGACCAAAGGCAGGCGGATCAGAGAGTTTTCTCCTTTAGACGCGTCAGCCTGTACTATCTGGACTGTGCCTAAAACCAGAGCTAAATATTAACCAAGACTTAACAGAGCTGAACGTAAAACATTACTGATTCTCCTGAGATTACGAGTGAGGATAACATCACTAAATGAAATGTGGCTTTATCACTAGGCTCAGTGACTGTCCGCCTCCCTCTAGACAAAGACTTTAAATGTGAGACTCAGCTTCAGGTGGGTGGGGAGGGATTCTCTACGGAGAAGGGGAGAGGCTTGATGTTTTTCATCTCTGTCTTCTTTCCCGGCATTATTAAAGGGCCAGACCAGCGTGAGAAGACCTCTCTGCCAGGTCGGAAGGGGTGGCTCGCTTCCAACCCTGATCCTGACAGGACTGGAGGCAGAAAAGGCAGGTACTTCTTAGAGATGAAGTTGCCCTACCCTTTGAGAAAAGCCTCTTGAGGAGCCTGGTGCAAGGCCCACTTCAAAAGAAATCTGAAATAGCTTCCCACAGTCTGGCCACTCCAGTGATTCAGCACCTGGGGCCTCCCACTGCTCAGGCAGTAGAGAAGGTCTCCGAGCGACAGTCACGGAGGAGAGAGAGGGGCCGTGCTATGCACTACTAAGTAAGACTGGTTTGGCCCTGGGCCAGAAGGAGACACAGCTGTCCCGGATCCTTACAAAGAGCAGATTACGAAGTGGCCAGCATGGGGGGCCCCGAGGGGAAACTGCTCACCTCCATAGGGGAAGACCCAGGATCAGCTCCGCGGGGCCACCTGTAAAGTCAGCAGGTACCGCCAAGGAGCAGCGAGCCACACCTGGGCGATGCCCCTCTTACCTGGCAGATGGTACCAGTTCCTGTCGAGGGTTCCTACCCCCAGTCAAGGGCATGCCATCATTACTGAGTAAGCCGGTATTGCTTCTCATGGGAATTATTTTTTCAAGACTGGTCGGGTCGGTGGCCGACACGGCTCTCGTGTGTGCCCCTGACCACACACGTGTCAGACTTCTTAGTCCGTGTTTCACTCACGGTATTATTTTTTAACAAGAAGCCTAAATGGTTCTCATATAACAGAACACAGGCTTAGTTTTCTTAACATGAACCAGCACTGCATGTCTCCAGAGAAATGGGCGGCCCTCTAAGTTGCCCCAGTTCCGGACTTTCACTGCAGTCGGTGCTCTCACACGCGCGTGCAAGGCAACAGAGCCCAGGTGCGGCACACATGTGGTTGTGCTCTGTGGATGTGATTGTGACATACACACATGTGGCACACATGTGACATACATAGTACACCTTCTACTCTGTTTGGACAAGACCTCAAGGCAGATTCCCCAAGAAGGGAGAGAACTATGTCTGGCTAACCCATCTGAAGTCTAGGGACACTGAGTCACTTTTTTCTAGAGAGGGGCAGGGGACGTTGTGCAGGAGCTAATTCCTCACCCAGCGGGTCCATGCCAGATCACAGACTCCGTGCCCACCCCAGCCAGCTGTCCCTGCCATAACAGGCCCCCTCGACTTAACTTTAAAGAAATAGAGTTGGTAAAAGGGCGTGAGCAGTTTACTACAAATCATGCCCACTAGTCAACCAACTTAAAGCACACAGTCTGCTAACAGCAGTATGTTTTTGCATAAGAAAAACAATATAATCTTTGCAGAAAAATCACCCCAAATTATTTCCAAGTTGATTCTCATCAAGGGCAGTGTTATGATAGCTGTCTCTTCCCCCCAACCCCCCAGTAAAATCTGAGGGTGAACACTTTGGGGGAAACAGAGGTGCTCGGCTTCCCCCAAAGAAAATGAGCAGCACTTCTCTCCCTCAGCCACAAGCACACCTCCAACAGCGTCTTCTTCAAGGTAAACCAGGTCTGCCTCTTGTCCACCATCCCACTCCAGTCCTTGGCTGGGTATAGCTACATCAGCTCATCCTGTGCTCTTGGAGTACCCGCCAGTACATAATGGGAAAAAAAGCATTGTATTATTTTCTTTGATGAGCAGAGTCTGATACTCCAGTTCATTCTCAAGATTAATTAAAGTTCACTTAGTCCCAGCTGTGCTGCTTACCTAGCGTGGAGACAGTTCTGGAGCAAAGGCTCCAACTAGATGAAGACTCACTGTGTTTGGCTTCAGCTTAATGCTTTCTGGCAGATGACACTGGTCTCCTAACTGTCTCTTCAAACTCCCGGGTAGGTGGGCGCTGTGTTAGTGACCGCAGCTGTTTCACCCTTCTCCTTTGCACCCTCACACACCTTTTCTTCCCTCCTGGCGCTAAGGGCCTGTCAACTAGAAGGTGGCAGAGTCACATCCTCAGCCACAGAGGGCCTATGCTAGGGGCTGTCTCGGCAGCTAAGGAAACCCACTCCTCCTAGATCTTACACGGAACATTCCTAGTCCAGCTGAGCGGCCGTGAGCAACATGGTTCTGGGCTGTGGAGCCAATGTGGAAATGGGTATTTAGGGGGTTTGGGATTTCAAGGATCCCTGCCTCCAAGACTGATGAAAGAAACCTTAACTGGTAGAGAAGAACCAGAGCGAGGCACTGAAGTGGCAGTCACTTCAGGAGCAGAGGCTGTGGTCGGGGGACAGGGAAAGCCGCCTTTGAGCCTCGAGTCTCCCATTGTTCAAATTTAACCCTTATCAGAGTTTGCTCCCTTTCACGGTACCTGGATCTACCTTCCAAAATGGGTTCCCTCGCATTTAGAGTTAATGTTTGAAATGTTAGAAATGCCTTCTCGCCCTGGCTGGCGTAGCTCAGTAGATTGAGCTCGGGCTATGAACCAGGCATCGCAGGTTCGATTCCCAGTCAGGGCACATGCCTAGGTTGCAGGCCACGACCCCCAGCAACTGCACATTGATGTTTCTCTCTCTCTCTCTTTCTCTCTCCCTTCCCTCTCTAAAAATAAATAAATAAAATCTTTTAAAAAAATACATCCTTCATAAAAAAAAAAGAAATGCCTTCTCTTTTTGAGAATTCCACAATGCCCATCTTGGAATAACAAAAAGGGACACAGTTTTCATAAAATCAGGTCGGGAGCCGGTTTGAAAGGAAACAGCAGCAGAGGCATGCAGTCCTGCAGTGCGCGACCCAGAGCCGGGCCTCCCTCTTCTTCGCTGCCTCTCCCTTCTTCGGGTCACTGCGTGGCCTGGGACAGGAGTTTAATGTGTAGCTGAGTGGGAGAAAAAGGCTTCCATTTAGAACAGCCAGCTCACG